GTGCAGCTGGGGCCTTTCTGATGTCTCTGATCCAGACAGCCAGGGAAGGCAACAGGGTCGGGGACGGTGGCAGCTTCTCTGCAGATGCAGTGTGTACTGGCAGCAGCACTGTCTGTCTTCATTTCCCCCTGTGAGTTCTGGTTGCACTGTGACATTCAATGTTGAGCAGGAGGCCTGAGGCACTGCTCCTGCCATTGAGTCTTCTGAAGCATCCCTTTGCTTTCACATGCCAAGGGTGATGGAAGGTGTGGGTTTACTTGTGATTCAAGTCTGAAAATATAAGATGAAAACCGTGGAATTTGGATCATAAACATACTGGAGAAAGTTTGTGAAATGGCTTCTTCGATGAGAACTTAAAACGTGCTAAAGCAGAGGCAGCCACAGCTTTCTCCTGCAGCACAGCTTTCTCCTGCAGCAACTCGTATAGCAAGGGTGAGCTCTGGGGTTCGAGTGGGATAACGAGCTCGGGTTGCTGAGCTGCTTTAAATAGCAGAATTTTCAGCATATTTTGGTAAAGGTGTTTGCCAGACACTTAAATGGATTCCGTATGTCTGGCCTAGCAGCAGCAGCTCTGACCTTCCCAGCTGGCCTCACATGGGAAGGTGAGAAGCAGGGATCAGCCTGCTGTGCTGCTGCTCTCAAAATCTGTCCAGGCACCACTCGCAGAACAGTTTCCTGCCAGTGGCCAAGTCCTGCAGCAGCTCTCCTACTCTCCTACCTATGTTTTGGTAGGAAAGAAAATATGACAGTCTTCAAGACCAAACCAAAGCTGCATTTTTGTGTCCATTATGAACCCATTTCCCAGAACCAAGGAACCAAACTGGCTCCCAGGAGCAGCTGCAGTCAGTTAAGGAAAGCAGATGCCTGCTGGGTAGTTCTGTGAGCCCCATTTACAGGCAGTAGCAGTTCCTGATGAGCTGGCAGCATTGATTTCATGGCTGGTTTAGTGCATACCCGAGGAAGAGCATTGCTGTCCACTTGTCTGGAAGGGGTTGTGCCCTGGGGGAGCTGGGTCTGTCAGTTTGGAGTGCATGTGTCAATAGCAGGCTGGATCACGGAGGATGCTGAATGTTTCTGCACTCTTGCTCCTCAGGTTACCAATGCAATGATGGAGATAGCAATTGTCCAGTTGACCAAAGGGTCCTAATATTATCCTGGAGTCAGTATTATTTGTCTCATAATATTGACACACAACTGAAGAACATTTACAATACTCCTAATTTACTAAAACCAATAACTTGTCCTGGAATTAGGACTAGACCAGGTTACTCCAAGCCCTATCCAACCTGGCCTTGGACACTTCAGGGATGGGGCAGCCACAACTTCTCTGGGCAACCTGTGCCAGGGCCTCCCCACCCTCACAGGGAACAATTTCTTCCTGACATCTGATCTAGTTACTTAATTTTTCCTTGAGTTTTACTATTTTCATGTGCATGAGAGAAAGATAATATTGTATGGTGTTTGGGAATCTCCAGCTGAAGGATAATGTTATTTTGACACCTAGAGGTCAGGAGAGGAGTGAATTGGCAGCTTAACTGTTACTGGATGGGGAAGAATTAGTCAGTTTGTGGCAGCACTGGTAGGCCTTAGTCAGAAGAGCTGTGAACTGAGGTTGGTGGGTGATAGGACATGACAAAGAGTTGACAAAGAGTTCACAATTTAAAGTGAGAAATTGTGTGGCAAACCCTTGTTGCTGGAGGTGTTTGGTTAACAAGGGACCATCCCACCCTTCCTGTCCCAGCAGATTTTGCATAGGAACAAATAAGCCACAATTAGCAACTTGTGCCTGGGCATCGTGGGTGCGGCCACTCTGGGAGGTCAGAGGTGTGATAAGGCCACAGAGGATGAGCAGCTCATTCTACAGAATGTGAGACATGTGCTGAGAATATCAGACTGGTCGGCCTTGCTGTACTGGTTGTACTCCTGTGCCCAGGGACTGAGCTTTGTCATATGTGAGGTCTGTGAAATAGAAACTGCTGAGGGAGCCTCATCAGCAAGAAACTCAGTGTGCACACATAACCTTACACCAATGAGTTTCATGAAAGCAGTGAGAGGTGTTCAAAGGCCTTGCTTAATTTTTACCAGGGGAACAGAAATTAATTTCCTGCATTGGTTTAATGAATTTGGTAGGGCATAAACAAATTTAGAGATGGCACTGAATTTCCAGTACTGAAGTGCCAAGTTACGCCTACATCTGTCTCGCCTGGAGAAACCACTTGGTTTGAGTTCATTTCAGAGCTGCAGAATGAGTTTGGTGTGAACTGGTCAGGTTTGCCTTGCAGTGACAAGAGCATGTTGTATAAATCCCATCCAGCACTTGGGTTTGCAGAAGTCCTTTGAGCAAGGAAATACATTTCTTTCCAGTTCAGCCTCAGCACACAGCTGCAAAGCCTGTGCCTCCTGGGATGTACCTGTGGAGGGGCCTGACCTTCAGGAGGAGAAAAACACAAGTGGGGCTCCTCAGAGCAGCCCACGTTTTTAATAAAGCATTAAGGAGTGCTGAGATCCCTAAGCATGCAAGGCCATCATGGATAAGCTGGAGGATAGGAAGATCTAATATTCATGATACATCATCCTAAGAAATTTACATCAAAGACAGCCTTTAAAGTGAGACAGTTAATCTTTTTTAGTGCCTGGATTTTGCTTCAGGCCATCTCAACTTTTACTTTGGACTGAAAAACATCACAATTAATCCAAACTAAACATCACGACTAATCCAAATCCTTGGCAGCAGCCTTCATAGCAGAGTCCTGTGTGAGCTGCCACATGTCACTCCAGATGTGTTGGTTCAGTCAGCAACAGCCTGTCCACATCAGCGACGTGCAGCTGGGGCCTTTCTGATGTCTCTGATCCAAAACTTATGGAGCTTTAGGTCACAGCAGCAGCTTCTGTTGGGTTCAGTGGAGTGATATGGGTGTTGCTGGGTTTTCCTGGGCTCTGGGTTTCCCTGTTCCTGAGTCCCATCGTGCCTTGGAGGCTGCTGGGAAGGATGAAGCTGTCAGGGTGTTCAGGGTCCTGCCAGTGGAGAGTCTGGAGTGCCTGGTGGAAAAAACAAGTGTCCTTGGTTCCAGACATCCTGCACCTACTTAGCTAGGAGACAAACTGTTACCTTCACTTGTTTGTTTGGGGTGGTTTGTGGAGGCTTTATGAGTTAAACCTCAGGACCAGTAGAGTCAGTCACCTGAAATGTCCTTGTATGGAAGGAGGCATTTCAGCCCTCCTGGAAATGCTACTTTGGAATGGCTGAGAAGGAGCCAGAGTTACAGTGCCAGACAGAGCATGAGGGTGGAAAGCATAAACGGATCAGCAGTCCTGACCTCAGGTGCCATCAGGACTCTGAGATCAGTCAACATGCTTGTTTTTCTGGGAGTTACCAGATAACTGCAGATGACGTTTGTGTACCCCGAGGCAGCAGCCTGCTGCACCATGCTGCTGCCTCCAGTCCCTGCTATGGTGGAAGCACCTCCTACCTGGATTCAGTACAAGTCTGTCCTGCGTGGGCTTTTCCCTCCAGCTTGGTGCTGCTAGAGCCTTTTTTAATTTCTGGCAAGTCACAAATATGTAACATTTCCCAGCTGCCTGTCTGTCCTTGTACTAGCATGTCACAGTGCAGGACAGGGCAGGATAGCTCTTGGTGATGGTTTCAGAACATTTTAGATCCAAATTCGTGGACAACAAAAACGCAGTTCAGCACATTTTCTTGTGGATCTGAAGAAAATCACACACTTGTGTAGGAATGCCTGGTTTCCTATAGCCTGTGTGTTTAGCCGTAGCTCCTTTGAAATACATAGGAAAGTGTAGAGTGAATATATTTCTGGAATAATCTCATTGCCTTCACTAGATCTGTTTGAGGCTCACTTCAAGGTAACCCTGGGCTCACTGTGATAGTTAAAATCAGATGAGACTCAAAAAATCATAGTCTTTGGCTCTGTTTACATCTCTTGCTGCATTCATAAAGCATCCTCCATCTGGGGAGCTGCCTGAGCTCTCATATCTGAGATCAGACCAGCTCACCCTTCATGGAAATATGCACTGCAGAGCACCAGTGTGGGGCTGGGCCCAGGCCTGGACATGTGGCACGAGGGCAGGAAATGGTGCGTGGCTGTTAAATGTGGACCAAACCAATATTCGTGTAACACAGTGTTACTGAAATGGGCTCCCAAAGTACTCCAGACTTGGGCAGCTTTTCATAGTCTGTTGCTCCATTTGGCAGCTAGAGAGAAAAAGGAGGGGTGGTGGCAAAGCTGTGGCCACAGGTAGCCAAAGCCTGATGCCTTATTTGAAGGTGGATGAGCAAGATCCCATTTTTGTTAAGTTTTCCTTTGATTTTGAATGAATAGATATTTTAGAAAATTAAATTCTTTGAAAAGCATATTCAGGAAAAGAGTTGCCTGTTACTGCAGCTAATGCAGATCTGGACTGTATTTTTTGCTTGTGGCAAATGGATTGGACTGGACATTTGTTCAGAGAACAGGGCAGTGGTAACTCCCAGCTCCATCCACCTGGGCTTACATTCCTGAGTTTCCCATCCTGTCATTAGGCATCTGAGTCCAGTTGCCAGGTACCTCCAGTAACTGAAAAGTCTTGTCTAGTATTGTAGGTACCTAAAAGCCATAGATACTAAATTTCTGTCAGCAGGCATGAACATAACTGCTGAATTCCTGAAGGTGTTCATCAGTTTGTGCCCAAGGCCTGGGAAGGTTCTTAAACAAGATATTTTCTTCCTCCAACTTGCCCATGGAAGCTGCTCCAGAGATACCGATCTCTTGCTTAAATCAAAGCATATCTACCCTTTACCCCAACCTCTCCCAGAAGAAAGATACAGAGACTTTTTGTGGTTAGGTTTTTGGGCTCTCTTTTGTTTTGTCATTCGAGTGGAGGGAGAGGGTCAGGGGAGGCACTGCAGGCTCATCCCTGTGTCCCCACAGTGGTCTCAGGAGTGCTGGAATCTGCAGGACCCATCCCGGGGATTGCACTCTCCTGTGCCCAGGGAGCTGCTCACCCACAGCTCCTCTCAGACAGCAATTATGCCCTGTATCAGCCATCAAATAGTAATTTCTCCACTTGTTCTTCACTAAAGATCTGGCATTGAGCAGGTGAAGAGCCCACTGAGATGAAGTCAGCTCTGGATTGGATTTAATTGGATCAGGCTTGTTTTGTTGGAAAAGGAAAGTGAAATAATACCAGTTGGGAATGAAATTTAAGAAATGAAATGGGGTTTGATCAGCATTTTCAAATGTAATTTAGTATATTTTGTTTTCTGAAAGCTAATGCCAAACATTATATTCTGCCTCCTAGAAATTTTTCCTCTCTTCCTACTGCAGGCAGCCTGCGTGCTCTTGTGCCAGAACCTGTGACCTGAGGACAAGCTGAGCTGCTCTGGCTGTTGTTTTATGGGTTCAGTCCTCCACAAGCACAGCAATTTAGAAGAATTCGGAGAAGGTGAGTTTGATTTCCAGCACTGCCAAATCCATCTTGGAGGACTTTGTAACCACTGGCCTCAGAGAGGGAATTTTCAGAAATACAGAGTAGATTGTCTGTGACTTCAAACATGTTCTCTTGAAACCATGTTTGATGTCTCAAAGGGCTGTTTCCTGGCTCCATAGACTGCTTTTAAAAATATAGTTTTGTGTTTCAATATACACACTGAGAAGTGAAATCAAAAACCTGCCCTTCCAAAGTAAAAATGCTGTGGGCAGTATAAGAAAGCTTTTCAGGGCAAGATGCCTGTGAAGGTGCCAGGCTCTTCCCTCCTGTGACCTCTTGAAGAAAGTTCTGCTTTCAGGGGACTTGGGGGGATGGCTTTACCACTTCCTTCTCAGTGGCATTCCAGCTGTGTGCTCGCTGGTACTGGATTTACTCTTGTGCAGTACCTCACTGCTGCTCAGAGGGTTGCCATGGCTTTACTACAGGAGTGAGGGTTAGTGTGGGGATTTGTTCAGATCACCTTTTAACCTACAGCATTTGCTTCTGACCTGACAGTCAAGTTTACTTTGAGACAACTTATTACAAGAAAGATTCTTACACACAGAAATAAATAAAAAAGCAGGCAAAGATGAAAATTCAAAATTTTTCATGGGATTTTAGCCTCAACTGGTGCTAGCAAAGTCTGAATGAAGTTTGGGCAGGCAGCCTGTAGTGTGAGCTGCTGACCAGTCAGACAGGGCTATTGGGATCCAGTCCTTTGTGCTGCCTCAGTGGCCTGTGTGAGGCAGGGAAGAGGTTGCACAGCTCAGATTTCTTCCTCTCCCAGTTGGGGATACAACTCCATGGTCTTGAATCTGCGTTGGCAGCCAGGAGACAGGGAATGGTGACAGTGCTGGCAGAGCTGGCATGAGCTTTGACCATTGGAAAACAGATAATCCCTACAGTTATTTTTAACAGATCTGGAAGCATAATTCAGAAGAGGGAGATATATAATCTTGTTGTGGCCCCACAATTGTTGTGTTTTCTGTTACACTCGGTGTGTCTGATTAGCTCCTACCTGAGTCCAAAAGGACACTGATGCTCCAGAATATATGGCCTCAGGGAGCTACCATGGACACTGCTGAGCATCTTCAGAGTCTGCAGTTGTGTTTTACTAATGCCTTTGTTGTGAAGCTTTGTTTTCTTAACAGCTAATTTATTAGTGAACAAATTGAGGCTTTTGCATATTAAAAGACCTGCCAAGTATCACTTAGGGGCCAGAACAGAGACTAATGAAATTATAAAGTCTCTCCCCAACATCCAAATAAAAAAGCTCTTAAAAAGTCTTTTTAATTATTCTCTGGGATGGAATGTACAAGATCTATAGTGTATTGCAATATCATAATTGCAATATCCTGATTCACCTCCGTTAACCTGTGCGTGGCCCTGCTCTGGGGACACGAGGGTCCAGGATCCATCACTCCATCACTCGGGCATGTTAAATCACACACAGGGGTTAGCTGGTTCTCCTGCTATCACTGATACCTTGAGCTGAGAAAAATCAGTTTCAGGCTCTTTTCTGTAGAACCACGGTGCTGTCTGTGTTTCAAGCAGTGGTACACGAGTGCTGTGACCTCTTTCCTTCTGAGTCAGTGTAACCAGCACCTGTCAGTGAGGCTGCCCATACACAAGAGCTGCTGTTCCTGGCCAGTCAATTATTTCGAGCTCATTGTTAGTCACTTCTGTGGGAGAAAAGGCAGAATTATTGTAGTGCTCCACAGAGCGCGGCGACATGTGAGGGCTGTGTGTCCTGGGCATGAACGAGCAGCGTGTGCTGCGTTCAGCAGCGTGTGGTGCAGGGAGGCTCTGCTGGCTTTACTGGGAAATCACAACTCCTTAAACAGCTGAAGCTTGGCAGAAATTGGAGTGACCTTTGTGCCAATGACTCTGCTGGGAGTTTTCTTAGTCTGCATGTAACCTGTATGGGCGTTGCAGCTGGATGTGGCTGTGGACAGCTCAGCTGAATTGTCAGCTGATTTCTTCAAATACGTCCTGCTGAGATTTCAATTATGTTACTGGATGGAAATCCTTCTGTTGAGAATATTTGAAAGGAGACTGGTATGCACACAATTAAAGGATGATTTTGGGGAGCCTGGGGTTTTGGGGTTTATTTTAAAAATCTATTATACTGATGTACTAGTAGAAGTTCATTTCTATTTTATACATAATGCTTTTAAGTGGGAAACTTGCACTGTCTTTTACCATGTGAAACAAACGGTTTGATCATCTCTTTGAATCCTATTCTGCACAAAAATTCACCTTTGGAATCCCATCCCTGTGCTTGGGGTTTCAAAGTGGGAGAGCTGCTCAGAGCAGCTGTTGGGGGAGCGTGTGGACAGGGAGCTCTGCTGTGAGTCACTCTGCCAGGGACTTTCCCTGAGTGAAGGGACTGAATCTGACTTATCTTCTGTGAGCCTGTGTAACACACACACACACACACACACACAAACTAGATCCAGCATGCAGTGCAAGATCTACCACATCCATCTGTGCCTCTTGGTGGGATGTGGCAAGGACTTAACTCAGTCCAGTGAACTGTGTTCATGGCTAACGGGGGTTCTTTTCATCTCTAGAAGCACAAGAATGTGCAAATCTGAAATCTCATTTTAAAAGTGCATTTCAAGAGAAAATATCACATGGACAGTGAGAGGTCTGAGTGCTGCAGATGTGTGAGACAGACAACAGAACCAGGTGAGAACAGTGTGCAATGAAGGACTTACAAGGGTGGCACATCCCAGCTGTGTTAACTCGGCGTTCTGTTGTGTCTGAGGTCACTGGGTGACAAAAGTAATGTCTTTACAAATAATTTTTCAAGGCATTTGTATATCAAGGCTAGTGAAAGCAATATAGGTAGGATATTAGGAAGAAATTTTTTACAGAGAGAGTAATCAGCCATTGGAATGGGCTGCCCAGGGAGGTGGTGGATTCACCATCTCTGGAGGTTAAGATGAGACTGGATGTGGCATCAGTGCCATGGTCTGGGAACCACAGCAGGGTTGGATCAAGGGTTGGACTTGATGATCTTGGAGGTCTTTTCCAACCTGGTTGATTCCATGATTCTGTTCTATAATATCATAATTCAGGTGATATTTCCACCTGTGCTTCACTATTCCAATAAAGAAATTATGTGGGGAGAATACTTGACTCCTGCACATGGAAAGACAATGGGGAGAGAGTGAGAAGTAAAAAATGGCCTCTGTGCTTCCCCCTGGCTTGGGAATCTGAGGGGGAAGAAGAAAGGCATGTGGGGGCCTGAGGAGTCAAAATGCTGATACTGCAAGGAATTTCTGCTCTGCATCTAGGCACAGTGACAAGAGGAGCTGGGAAGAGCTTTAGCTGACTTTGGGACTGCTGCCAGACTCCTGAACAATTCTGAACACATTCTTAAGTGTTCATTTTAAGGACAGAGAGAGCAGGGGAAATGACCATTTTAAATAATAAAAAAAAATGGTGATATCTTCCTTGCTTTTATAAACATCTCACATGTGAGTGGCTTTGTAGTCTGCCTGTGTTCTGAATTTGAATGTGTCTGTGGCAGTGGGACTCCTGTTCCCTCCCATCGCTGCTGCAGCGACACAAGGACTCTGCAACTGTGCTCTGCTTGTGCTCTGCAGTAACAGCCTTGAGTTACTGCTAGGGGAATGCTGCATTAAACAAACTGAAAACCTAAAGCAGGGGTTCAGGCCTTGGTTGTCTCCTCTTGAGCACTTGACCACAACCTGAACAGACAGTGCATCTGAGAGCAGGTCCCTGGGACAGGTGCTGCTGAAGGGAGGACATGGCCCCTCTGAGTGTGGGCTCGAGAGCTGCCTGCCAGATGGGAGCTGTCCATGGGCCCAGCTGGGAAGTTTCTGGAGCATGGGAGGAAAATCTGTGACTTTTTCCCCTCCCATCCTCTCCCTGCAGGCTGAGGGACCTTTCCTTGGGCTGTCTGGGGGCAGTGCTGGCATGAGAAAGGTGCTGCTTGCAGTGCGAGCCCTCCTCTCCTACAAGTGCTGTGCAGGGAGCATCAGGGGGAGAGGCAGCCATGTGCAAAGGCTGCATTTCCTGCTACCTGTCCTGCCAAACCCAGCGGCTCCTTTGGGCCTCGGGGCTTGTACAGCTCACAGAGACTTGTAGAGAGTTATATGTGCTTCGTGCTGCTGTGGGTGGACAGCCCTTTCTCTACTGGGAAAAGGAGTAATCCTGGATAACATGTCTGCTTGCTGCTACACCTTCACCCTAAATAATTTTAAAAAGATGATATCGATAAGATAAAAACTCAGATTTGATAATTAAGTTTCCATTCCAAACCCACAGTCCCCAGCAGGGTCTCATGAAGTGCCACCAATCTGTATTAGTTCTTCATGCAGTTACGTGCTCTTTAGAGCCAGAGACAACCCCCTGTTCTGGTTCACATGTGAACTTTCGTGTATTACTGTGCTGTGGTGAATGCTCTGTTTGAACAGATATCATGAACAGATTCTGCAGCACTGGGTTTTTCAGAGGCTGAGCAGAGATGCCTTACAAGTTAGACACAAGTTAGTGTTGAACTCACTCTGAAATCAGCTGCAGGGAATCCAGGCTTCACTCAAGACCCGGCTTTTTAGTGTTAAATCATGGGGGTGTTTTAAAGTGAAACTGGGAAAGTTGTGCAACTCTGCAGGGAGCAGAGCCCAGAACAAACTCCAGGTTTAAGTTTTCTCACTGTTTTTCTGCAATTTAGTGATTTGTCTGTTCTATATCCATGACTTCATGGCCATTAGGAGCAGACTTTTTTCATCGTCTAAAATACTTGCAGCCATGGCAGTAGTTCCCAGTTTGTTAGTCTCCTGGGCTGTGGATCCCAATCCTCTGGCCAGGCCATCCTGCTCTCTAGAGCTGCCCTGCCAGCATGCTTTGCCCTGGGCTGGAGGGAGTCCCTTCAGCAGGGACAGGGATTTGTCTGAGCTGCAAAACAGTGAACCCAGAGAACCAAGACTTGTTATTTTGGAATT